GCCAGTAGAATGTGACTTCGGGTCTTTGTCTTCTTCACTGGATATACCATATCTGGCAGGGGAGTCTAAGCTTTCACCTGCTTCTGTAGTGGAGACTAAATGATCTAATGATTTGTATTTCTCTGGACTCACCATATCTGGCGGGCGAGACCTGGAAGCTCTCGCCACTGTTGTTGAACTGCCAGTAGAAGGTGACCTCGGCGGGGTCCGCGCTGACGGTGCAACGCACGCGCAGCGGCTCGTCTAATCGCGCACCAATGAGGAGCGGCGTGGGCTGGGCGCATACTCGGCGACTACCCTCGATTCAAGAAGATGACGTCCACTCCTTGGCCAAGACCTCCAAGGATTTCCACAATAACCGGTCCTACGCTGCCCACGTCCAGGTCAATGCCCAAAACCTTCACTAGATCGTCAGGTTACCAAAAAGGAAGCCCGCTTACACTACTTTTACTACGAGAACTGTTCTGACCCAAGGGTCATCATTTCTAGAGCTATGTGCCTTGCTTACCGCTACTTAAATTTGGCAATGCTGCGGGCTATTTGAAGTAACGAGACGTGTTCTTCGCTGAACTCACAGCTTTCGCCTGCTCCTGCAGTGGAAACTAAAAGATGTGATGATGACGCTCTTTGTGGGTTAAAAAAAGTAACCTTCCCAGCTCGTCTGGCCACCGTGGGAAGTGAAGGCTCCTTTTGCTCCAACCCTCGACCTGCCTCTAGTGTATGCAGGAGCAGTGGAGACTAAATGACGTCACAAGACTCACCGTATCTAGCGGGTGAGACCTGGAAGCTCTCGCCGCTGTTGTTGAACTGCCAGTAGAAGGTGACCTCGGCGGGGTCCGCGCTCACGGTGCAACGCACGCGCAGCGGCTCGTCTAATCGCGCGCCGATCAGGAGGGGCATACTGGGGCGACTACCCTCGATTCAAGAAGATGACGTCTATTACTGGTAAAAGGCCTTCTTTAAGGATTTCCACAATAACTGGTCCTGCGCTGGCCGCATCCAGGTGCTTCCCAAGGCCGTCACTAGATCGTCGAGGAAGTCCGCTTACACTGCTTTTACTACGAGAACTGCTCTGCCCCAATGGCCATCATTTCTAGGCTATGTGCAATGTGCATTGCCTACTGCAATAATTCTGCGGGCTATTTGGAGTAAGGAGATGTGTTCTTCGCTGAACTTACAGCTTTCGCCTGCTCTTGCAGTGGAGACTAAAAGATCAGATGATGATGTGTGATGTAACTTTGTGGGTTATAAAAAAGTGACCTTCCCAGCTCTTCTGGCCACTGTGGGGAGTGTAGGCTCCTTTTGCTCCAATCCTCGATTTGCTTCTGGTGTACTATAGGGTCAAGCTCCTGCAGTGAAAACTAAATGACGTCACAAGACTCACCATATCTAGCAGGTGAGACCTGGAAGCTCTCGCCGCTGTTGTTGAATTGCCAGTAGAAGGTGACCTCGGGTGACTACCTTGTTAAAGAGTGACTAAGGGAGAAGAAATACACTTACATCAAGCCTGCTCGTCTGGCCTGCGTGGGATTTTAAGGTCAAATCCTGTATTTGCTTCTGGTATATTAGAGCAGTTCGTACTCCTGCAAGCCTGCCTGTCTTGGTCTCCACCAAGACCTAATGATGATGGACTCACCATATCTAGCGGGCGAGACCTGGAAGCTCTCGCCGCTGTTGTTGAACTGCCAGTAGAATGTGACTTCGGGTCTTTGTCTTCTTCACTGGATATACCATATCTGGCAGGGGAGTCTAAGCTTCCACCTGCTTCTGTAGTGGAGACTAAATGATCTAATGATGATGTATTTCTCTGGACTCACCGTATCTAGCAGGTGAGACCTGGAAGCTCTCGCCGCTGTTGTTGAACTGCCAGTAGAATGTGACTTCGGGTCTTTGTCTTCTTCACTGGATATACCATATATGGCAGGGGAGTCTAAGCTTTCACCTGCTTCTGTAGTGGAGACTAAATGATCTAATGATGATGTATTTCTCTGGACTCACCGTATCTAGCAGGTGAGACCTGGAAGCTCTCGCCGCTGTTGTTGAACTGCCAGTAGAAGGTGACCTCGTGTCTTTGTCTTCTTCACTGGATATACCATATATGGCAGGGGAGTCTAAGCTTTCACCTGCTTCTGTAGTGGAGACTAAATGATCTAATGATGATGTATTTCTCTAGACTCACCGTATCTAGCGGGTGAGACCTGGAAGCTCTCCCCGCTGTTGTTGAACTGCCAGTAGAAGGTGACCTCCGCGCTCACGGTGCAACGCACGCGCAGCGGCTCGTCTAATCGCGCACCAATTAGGAGCGGCGTGGGCTGGGCGCATACTCAGCGACTACCCTCGATTCAAGAAGATAACGTCCACTGCAAGTAAAAGGCCTCCCCCAAGGATTTCTACAAGAACCGGGTCTTGCATTGCTGGCATCCAGGTGCATCCCGTGACCTTCACTGAATTGACGGTCCAGGCTTACTTATGCTTGTTTCCTGCCCCACGGTCATCCTACGACATAGCTCGTAGGTTGACCGTGGTCGTGTCTCATCAACTGCTACTAACATTTGACAATACTGCAGGTTATAACAGGGTAGTCCCTGTAATAGAGACATATTATTCAATTGCAAGCGTAGCGTGAGACATCCACGCACAAAAGGTGGACAAATGACATTAGGTTGCAGGAAGGCGCTGGATGCAGGCTGCTACTAACCAACCAAACTGTAAATCATTGGGAGAGGCGGCCTATGTTGAGCCGTGAGTATCCTGAAATGATGACGATGCTCTTCACTGGACTCACCGTATCTAGCGGGCGAGACCTGGAAGCTCTCCCCACTGTTGTTGAACTGCCAGTAGAAGGTGACCTCGGCGGGGTCCGCGCTCACGGTGCAACGCACGCGCAGCGGCTCGTCTAATCGCGCACCGATCAGGAGCGGCGTAGGCTGGGCGCATACAGGCGCGACTGTTTGTAAAAAGTAGTAGTAAGTATTATTCTTGGTATTTTTTACAGGCGTCATCTTTCGGGATTCATGAGATGGAACAGGACTAGATTTCCTCGAACCGAAGAGCTCTGGTACCTACTATAGTCTGGTCTGTGAGCACGTAGAATTTTGTCCAATGACCTCAAGCTACCCATCCTTATCGCTCGCGCGTAATTATGTTGCTGTCGCGCTCGCACACTCACTGCGGGCGCCCGTCGCACAGTCGCGACAGCAACATAATTACGCGCGACAAAATTCTACGTGCTCACAGACCGGGCTTTAGTTACGGTACTATTACTCTGGTACGCACCTGCGAGGATCGCCAGGAGAGGTATCATTTAGGGAAGGCAACTGTTTGAAATGCTTTCAATGACATATTTTACTCAGTTTAAAAATAATTATTTATTGTAATGAGTTTTTTTACTGGGTCGAAAAAAAAGTATGAGAAGTAGTCTCTCGTATACAAGGTGGAATTTTGTAATGCCACCTGGAGGGAAAGTACTCTTAATACTGCAGACAGAAAATTTCACAGAAAGAAAAATTCCTTTATTTTTTTAAAGAAAGAGAACTGCATTAATAGATTTTCGAAAAATTTTCGAAAATTCACTACCATACCATACAATTTTCTGTACACATTAAAATAATTTAAAATTTTATGGATTTCCTTTCATTTGATTTATCAAGTTTGTTAGAGAGATTTCACTTGACCCTAACGATCGATGCAATAAAATACAGGGTGTAATTTTTAACAGATTTTAGTTAGTTCGATTCCCGGGTGTGGCAAGCAAATTTTTGGAAATCTTTGAATGCAGTTCTATTCCTTTTCAAAAATAAAGGAATGTTTTGTTTGAGAATTTTTTTCTATCTACAATATTAAGAGTTATTTCCCTCCAGGTGGCATTACAAAATTCCACCCTGTATACTGTATAGTTACCTACTCGTTTCCACCGTTGCAACTTTAGGATATTATACATTCAGCTTTACCGTTAATGTAAAGCCAACCAGACCAAGATTTGGTTGAAAGGACATAAGTACTTATCTTGTTTAAAAAAGTCTATCAAAAAGTGACCAGCTCCACTCACACTGCACCCTCAAGTAGACCGCCTGGCTGCTGGACTCTCCCATCTGGTTGGCCGCACGACAAGTGTAGAGCCCTCCATCCCTCCTCGTCACTCTCTGGAGGACCAGGGACTTGGTGCTGATGAAGACTCCCGAGGAAATGTTCTGCGCCACTAGCATATCCTGGAATAGGATTGATGGTTAGGATTTGACCTGATGAGGAGAAGTCAAAAGATTGTCAAAGTAACTAAGTACCTACATACAATGTTGGGAGCAGGACGTAAGGTATAGATCGTTTCATCCACAAAGACGCGCCCCACCATTCTTCAGCTAATGTTTGAGTGCTATCGGTAGGTACACGCTAAATTATCCATGAGTGCACACTCACACTGCAATTTAATGACACTCGGATTGCTCGGATCAAACTCCCCGCACCCCGCGCTTCACTCGACCAAAAATTGGTGGGGCGCGACTTCGTGGATGAAACGATTCCTGTGTAGCTGAGGATGCCGGTTAAATGTGACCGTTTCCATCTTCGGCCTAGTCATCACTTTGTATAATTTTTTTGTAATTACTCCGACAAATAATATTAAAAGAAATTATGTGTAATACCTTACATCAAACTACCTATACATTTATGTTGCAATATAATGTATGTATAACCTTTTGATATTACGTATTAATTATGTCCGTGTGCTTAATTTGCCTCTTGAAACTGAAACTGAACTGTTTCAGTAACCACAATATTATACGACTTTTCAATTAAATATAGGTTTATGCACATCAGTTGTGAACTAAATATCTAGTTAAGTGTCCATTTCAGTCACCTAAAATGGTTCGCATGATTGCTAAAATCTTTTGTACTATAAATAATTTCACATATTGGAGCAAATAATACGTAATTTGATATTAAAATTCAAAGCTAGTTTATTAAATTCCACGTTATATTTCTAAATGTTTCACAATATTTTCAATACATTAGAGGCATATTGAATAAATTGGCAAATCACGAGCATGGTTCGAATATTTTCATAAATTAATTTGTAAAAAATCCATACGTCGTCAAATTGAATAAAAATAAATGGAATATTTGTGTAAAATTACCGAGGTTTCAATATAGTCGATTTATGACAGCGTTATTAGGTATTTTATTACGGAGGAATTTAAATCGAAATACTTAAAATTTCATATCGGTAGCTGAATTTGTTCATTCATAATATTAACTTATTACTGTAGGTAATCATTACTATCTTCGCAGATAAATGTTAAGATAAAAAAATACTAGAGTTTCATTCAACTTTAAGCCCCTTCCTCCCTTTTAATTTTATTCTATCGTAAATTCAATGTCTCCTGTCAAATCAGATACAGGTAATTTTCTGCTAAATAGAGCTTTAAGTAATAACACATATTTCAGGTTTACTCCCGTAGTGGTGGTGTGAAGCCAAAATATCTTGAACGTAAGTTAATTTAGGATCGAGTAAGTGTTTTATTTAAGGTTGTTGGAAGTAGATACATAAGTGAATGAATAACTGTGAGTGAATGATTAAAATAGAGAAACAGGTTCCAGACTCACTCACGTTGTGAAACGAGGAGATCCGGTGCTCCTTGGTTGGCTCAGATGTTGTATTCGAAGTACATAAATAATTGATTGATTGAATGAGTGAATTAAAGATAAAGAACATATTATGTATATTGCAAAGTCATTCACGTTGTTAAACCTGATGAGCTCTTTGGTGCTAGCTTCAACGTACTACTAGAGTGCATATGTTAATGAATGAATGAATGAGAGTGAGTGAATGATTCCAGACTCACGTTATGAAATATCTTGTGTTCTTTGGGTAGGCTCAGATGTTCGTCTAGCCATTGCTAATAAATTAATGATTGAATGCTATTAAGACTATCAGACTCACTCACGTTGTGAAACCAGGAAATCCTGTGCTCCTTTGGGTTGGCTCGGCTGTTGCACTCGTGGTATATAAATAAATGATTAACTGAATGAGTAGGGAACTATAAAGTTACTACCTACCACCACCACCACCACAGGATGGCGCTGAATGCAGGCTGGTTCCAACCGGTGAATCTAAAAATCATTAAGGGAGGTCTATTCAACAGTACTACTGCTGAATACTGCTGCAGTAGGCCTCCAGTGGCTGAAATGATGATGGTGATAAAATAAAGTCACATGTGCCAGACTCACTCACGTTGTGAAACCAGGAGATCCTGTGCTCCTTGGGGTTGGCCCGGATATTGCACTCGAAGTACACGTCGTCCCCTTCCTTGATGTCGTTGGGGTTGAGAGTGCTGCCTAGGGACATGGTCAGCACCGGTCTGTCTGTGGAGAAAGATTGGGTTCACTTCAGAAATAGTTTTCTCAGAAAGGAATATCCATTTTCTGTCTGGATAATTTTTATAAACTAGTGAACTCATTTTCGATGGCTCCTACGTATAAGGGCGAAACTGCCGCTTACGCCTTTTTCCAATTATTTAAGCAATGATTTCACTTTGCCCTAATCTATAACATCAGTAAGAAAAAAAAAATTTTTTTCCATTAGATACAAAATAAAATTTTAGGCAAATAGGCGTATGTGCAAAACTACGCCACGTATAAAGCCCAATCATACGATTCGTCAATCTATACGAGTAGTTGCTTACATAAACATATATTTTTTATAATCCAAATCTTAAATAAAGCCATGAAAATATTTAGCAAATTGTTTTATTTATAAATTATGACACATTATATAGTTATTTAATTTTTAGCGCTAAGAGTCGCATCTCAAACTAATTTGAAAATTATAAATAACTTGAAAAAATCGAACTGCCTAAGGCATCGTGGGTTAAAATATGACACATTATGTTAAAAGACCTAACTAAATTTCGAGCACAGTATATGGGCGTATTTGCGTTAAAACGTAAAACGGTACATTAAACGACTTTTTCTAACTGATTTATTATTGATATAGCACATGATAACAATTAAAATAATTACATGCATAAATAAAGAGAGTAATCGCTTAAAATATTATATTTACGTTGTCATTTAAGTCTCTTTACGTTGAACAATATACATGAAATTATAGAAATATGCCGACGTAAAAGGGCAATGCGTAAAATCTCAAAATATATAAGAAAAATATAAAAATTGATAACAGCAGTAGCAAAAGCATTACATGTTAAGGCTAAATGTGAAATTTCATTAAATTCGTTTTAGTACGTCAGAAGATATGACCCAAAAATATGGTTCTGGCCACTAAAATGGCTCTCCTGTAAAATTTACTTTTTTCACTTACGCCAGTATACGTAGGAGCCATCGTTTTGGAGATCCGGACACATACTACATACTTAAAAAATCCGTTCTCTTTTTATAAAATTACTGGTAGACTATTGAGAAAAAGTAGCCGTGTGATTCCGGCAGAGTAGAATTGCACCACGCCCACTTTCCCTGCAGTAGAAAGTGTCACCACTGCAACTGTTCCCGAGTAGGTACTTTTCCCGGAGACGGCCAAATATGGCCTATGGTTGGGTGTAATTTTTTTATATTTTCTATAATAGGAAAATATACAGCTTAGAATAATGAAATCTGCATTTTAACGAGTTTTACATTATGTGTGAAAGTATTTAGTTTTCCTTTTGTCTCTTCAAAATCAGGAAGGGCTGACTGTCATCGTCTGACTGGTGAATTTCCTGTGCTATCTCAATGCTGTGACTTACAGACGACGCTCATCCTGAAGGAGTCTTCTAGGCCGAGTACCGGGTTGTCAGCGCGGCAGCGGATGACAGCGCTGTCCTCATTGCGGCAGCATGTATACAGAATGACTTACAGACGACGCTCATCCTGAAGGAGTCTTCTAGGGCGACGCTGAGCACCGGGTTGTCAGCGCGGCAGCGGATGACAGCGCCATCGTCTTCTGGCTGCGGCAGCATGCTCAGCCGACTAACTGTCGTCGTCTCATTGGTGAATTCACTGTGCTGTACAAATATTTGAAATTAAAATATCTAGTTGGAAACATTTTTGGAAGTTGATCCCTTGGGAAAGGTCTTTTTCCTGAAGTAGGCTTGGTTAATCCAAGCCAGCCATGACAAACTGGGAAGAAATTCACAAAAAATAATTATGTTCCAATTGGGAATCTAACCTGGAACATGGATTCTTATACCATGGAACCAAGAAGGCGCTTAGTCTAAGCGCTATATTTCACCGGGACACCATGGCGGCGCAACCAGTCGCCGGCTACCAACAAAATGTATACAGCTCTATAGTAGAGAGTTACTCACCTGTTGTCCGTTTGGTTGCGCAAAGCTGCATACATTTTTTTCGTAGCGGCGACTGGTTGCGCCGCCATGGTGTCCCGGTGTAATATAGCCCTTAAACCCAGTTTTTTGATTCGTAGTTAAATTATCCAATAGTCAAATTTGACAGATGTCAATTGACAAGTGGTTAAATATCAGAAAAAAATGTTTTTAGAACAATGATTAGCTTGACTTTTAATACATTTTTTTTTCTGTTAGTTTACATTTTGGGTAATATTAGTAGAAAAATTTAACAATGAATCAAAAAACTGGGCATAAGGGTGAAATTAATAATTTATATTTTTCTTAGCAGTATTTACTAGTGTTTAAGAAAGTTACTTTTTCTCACCTTTCCCCTAGTGTATCTCCTATTTTCCCTGTACCACGTAATTTGCGCGGACGGCCGACTGCCGTGCGATACGCACACTAACGTGATCTCTTGGTCCGCTGACATCTGCCCTGGTTTGTTCGTGATCATCACTGATGTTGGCCGTACTGCGGACAAAAATGGTCTTTAATGACGTGGAATTTGTTAACAAACCAAAAAGATTAAACTCATCCTTGCTATAGAAAAAAACCTACACTAAAAAGCAGAATAATAATTACTAATTACCTACTTATTTATTAGGACGAATTATTAATATTTATGTAGGTATACCATGATTGATACTTCTGGAGTCGGTGCCAAGATTATGAAACATGTAAAGTTTGCCTGCACCGACTCCAAAAGTATCAATCATGGTATACCTACATAAATATTAATAATTCGTCCTAATAAATAAGTAGGTAATTAGTAATTATTATTCTGCTTTTTAGTGTAGGTTTTTTGGAGTCGGTTTTATTTTTTTTTATAAAATTTAACTTATTTCTTGCTTTTTAGTTGACTAATTATTACCTTGATGTTACCACTGAAGGTAGGCAGTACATTGAGACCATATTCTTAATGTATATTATAAAAAAGTTCATCCCCAATTTTCCACCCTTGGGGGTTGTTTTTTTTATTATTAAATTTAAATGGGACCACCCTTGAGATATTACCTATACGCTGAAAAAAGATTTGTTCAAATCGGTTCATAATTGGCGGAGCTATCGCGTAACAAACATAGAAAAAAAAACATACGGGTCGAATTGAGAACCTCCTCCTTTTTTTGAAGTCGGTTGAAAACATGTAATGATCTATGATCATTATCTGATGGTAATATGGAACGTCGTGGCGGTATACGTCACTTTGTCCGCCTTTTGCATAGCTAAACATACTGAACTATACACTCGAAAGTTTGGTACCTACAATAAATCAATGGAAAAGACCTATTAACACAAGAACAGACGGATATTGACGGTTAATCCACAGTGTGCTTACCATGCGTTTACTTTACGTGTATTCGCTAGAGACTGCATATAAAAATGACATTGTATGTATGAAAGATTGTATAGCGCCCTTAGCGGCTACTTTCAAGAACTAAAATCTTCATAGATTTTTGTGACGTACTCTCTAGAGACCACACTGAATAGCACATAGGCTATATTTATCCAAATCTATGAGGGCAAAGCCACGGGAAAAAGCTACTCGTGTAGGTACCTAATCAAAGTGACTGCAAACTAAGCGTTAAGTCCATCTATTTAAATGTAAAAAACTTCATTAAAGTAGGTAGGTAATTCATGTGGGACTGGGTATTTTAGAAAGTAAAAGATTCGAAATAAAGTTTTAGGACAACACAATATCGTACATCGGCGTACGACATACTCCTAAAAACGGCGTAATATCCTTTTTCATTAGCTACGGGCATAAAAATTTACAATAATCTGCCTACAGAAATCAAAGCTATGGAAATGCCTAAATTTAAATCAAAGTTGAAGTCTTGGCTGATGAAAAATGTGTTCTATAACCTAAGTGAATATTTTAAGTTACATATTAAGAAAATTATTATAAGTGCGGTCGGTAGCACATCAGACTATACGTGTTTGTTGCAAAGTCACCAGTAGGTACTACGTCGAAATAAGTTTTGTCTCGATGTGGCATCGTCTGTATAATTTAATATTGCATGCTCAATATGAGCAATCTGTTGTAACGAATTTTATGCCCAAACAACTGCAAACTGTATACAGAAAAAGCAATAAATAAATTCTATTTTATTCTATTCTACTTTGGCATTTTCATGGAATATTGATCTAGAAAACTTACATCTCATCTCAACCCTAGCAGTCCTTTCATGGGGGCTCAGCAAGGGAGTATTCGTGGCCTGGCACCTGATGCTGGTGTTCAGCCAGCTCCTCTCAGCACCGCCCACGCTGATCCTGCTGATGATGACCTTGCCATCGTTCTTCAGGACCGTGTGGTCTTCCAACGGCTTGTTGTTGATCAGCCAAGTGAGGGTCGGCTGAGGGCGGCCTGCAAAAGAGAGAGTAGGTTAGAGGTGTTTTTTAAAGCATTTGAAGAGTTAAATATGGACATTATACGCATTTTTAAATTCCACAAAATAAGACAGACAATTTCTCGATGCGATAAATACATTTTTTTCACCTCAGTAAGGTGCCAATTCTCAAGAGAAAAACATAAAACGAAAAACTCAATTGATTTGAGTCTCCTTAATCGAATTACCGTGATTTTTCAAGTCCATAACATTATCTCCCATTTACCTCCAACTCAATTATGTAACTGCTCACAAAATCTCTAAATGTGGTTCAAGCCTTTCAGAAATGAGCCCCGGAATATCGCCATTGGATATGACTTAGGAACTTAAAATTGAATTCCACAAATGAAGAAGATTTGAGTGGATTCGTTAGAGAGCACTTAGTATGATAGACTCTACAAAAAATGCGGCAATATTATAATTTTTTTTGGTATTACTTGTTGCAATTCACGAAGGCGAGTGAGCATTAAATGTGTGGTGGCTCGCTACCGTTCGTTTTTCAAAAGTTTTGATAGACATTACACTATCCTTATATTGTGCATGTACACGTACACACACAAGTGAAGCTCACTCACCTTTGTAAGTTGCAAGAACTATAAATCTAACTAAATTAGTGGAAATAAACGACAGTCAAAGCACTTTGACTGTGACTTTGCCAATACTTAAAGCGTTTTTAACAATTTATAAGTTAATTGCAAAGTAAGTATTATTGGCGTACCTCTAAGCACCTTATATCGAGGTAAAGTAGGTATCAGTAGCGGGTTTTAGTTTAAATTGCACAGAAAAATCCTATATTTGATGACAAAAAATCGGCAAAAATGATAAACTTTCAAAGACTCAAAATTTCATTGCTAATAACTGCTGAGTAAAATGCGCACATGGGTGACTTTTATCACCGTGATAGTATGTTTCTCCATATATAAGAATAAGGACTACGTTGTCTCTCTTTTTCTCTTAAATATAAAAGTGTAAAAGAGAAAGAAATAGCTGTAGAAATACACATTAACTCTACCACCATAACCTATGACCTAGCACTTAAATATGATATGTTTAATTTTAAAAGCTCATCTCCTTCAGCGTAGGACGAGTCTAAGATTGTCTATGGATTTGTGAAGGATTCCGAGACGTCTGTGATGTTATTTGTCTTCATTGTACGGTAATTGATGGAGATTTAGATATAACAGCTTGATAGAGCGCTACTTTGCTTCGGAAAGCAGTTATTTTCGAAATGATGTTCTATTTACAAAGTCATTTAGTTAAGTATGATTTAGGTACGGTTATTAAGTGAGTATTTAGGGTACGTTTAACTAATTGCTACAAAAATATATTTGATTTTATGTACGTACCTATTTACGTGCGTTAAAGTTCTTCAATCAATACAAAAATGTTTAGGTGAAGAAAAGTTTCAAGCAGCATTCAAATAAAAAATATTTACGTATTTTGCATTAATACACAATATTTTGAAAATTGGACATACTTACCTACACGTTAATAATAAAATAAAGGTTCAATTGCTTAACATTAATGTACAATCGTAAAATGTATTAATGTGTGTAATGTTAGTCACGTAAAAACAATAAAATGTACACTTACAATATTACAACCGGTAGGTTACGCGATTGAAGAGAAATAATATTTTTAATTATTCAATTACTATTTGATTACTCTCATACGAGTAAACACGCTTTCATTACAGATTTTAATGACGCATTAATTCGTTCACGATAAAATAAAAGAACGTCGAAAAATATCAGCACATTATTTTTTACGTTTAAATTCGGAATCTCCATTAGCCAATTTTACTTTTAAAACTGCAAAAACAAACTCTATCCAGCCAGCCTCGCAAATCGAATAGCCACTATTTAAAAACTTTTTGGACATTCGCATTTTGATTCGATTTTTTAAAAATCGAAAAACTGATGGCGTTTAAAAAGCTGAGGTGAGGTCCAACAAAGTGTAGTGTTGTTCAAAGGTTTAATTGCCAAAATGGTGAATATTAATCGATTTATTCGATTGAAGCTTATACGAGTGCCTATCGAATTGGTACGAAAAATAACTGGAAAGTTATAAATTTTAACGAGATAACGTAAATATTTGTGGATTGCCTTAATCCAAGAGGTCTTATTCCGTTGGAATTTTCTCGTATAACTAAGTTATTGAGTTTGCGAACTCCTCAAAGAATTGAACGAAAATACGTCAGAGCTTGTTAGTGTTTTTATGTTTCCCACTCATAAAGAACGTAGGTTCGATAATATTTGGCGCAAGCAGAAGTTTGCTGGAATGTTTACAAACGTAAACGAGTGTTCTCTAACATAATTTTGTAAGAAATAACAACATTGAAAGTACTTACTTAGCGTTGGAACCTTGTGTCTAAATTTTGAGTTAACGTTTATAATTAAGTAAGGTACTCTGACTTTTGCTTGCTATTTTACAGAAGTAGGCCGTGAGATGAATGTAGGTACCTACTACGAGTACCTCGTCAGGTAAATGTCAAATCAAAAATTGGCTACAACTAATACTTAATGCAAAGTATAGGGTTATTTTAGTCATCTTGGAGATCCTATTTGAGATCAACTCTATCATTACCACATCAGAATGCATTTTCAAGGATTATTTTAAACTAGCGATAGATAGATGGCTTGAAAAATATAAATAACTTGAAAAAACGAATTGTCTAAGGCGAGAATCGAGCCCACGATTCGATTCAATTCAATCTTGCCAGGCAGTTCGATCAGCTTCTTCTTATCGTGTCGACAACAAACCTACAGTATCAGCCTAAAACTCTGCTACAAGAGTGGCGTTGTCAGCAGCATTCATTAAATTCTCCTGCGTGCAGTTGCTCGGGAACTCAGGCAAACATGGCAGTTCGATTTTTTCAGATTATTTATAATTTTCAAATTAGTTTGAGATGCAACTATTAATGCAAAAAATTAAATAGCTAGATAGATAACTTTGTAAGGGTGCATACTTATACAAGTTCAATAGATTTAACATTCCTCTTTAATGATCAAAACCGCATTAAAATATGTCATGTAGCTTCAAAAATCTAAGCACACGTATAAACAGAGCTATTCCTATTTGTCTGTACATATCCAAATGAGACTCTTCGCCTGCTGGAATATGGTTTAAAAATTTCTTAAAATAAGTCAAGATAACATTAAGGACATAGTACAGGATCAACCAGTAACTTTAATATAGACGTTCATAATAATAGTTTTGTAGTTGATTTAGTATCAATAGTGTCTATAGTGCCAAAGGTATTTACTTCGTGAAATTACTACTATCAATCCTAAATTCTTTCAATTTTAAAAGACTCCCCGCAGACTACAGAGTTTTAGTCGGCTGATAGTTTGGTCGGGTTGTTAAGTATGAACATGTATGGAAGGACGCATATTCCTCGTTCGTCAGCTGTGTAACTACAAATACTGAAGTTTTTTGGTCACGTCTCTAAAAATGTGAACTCGATGGAGAAACTGGTGGTTCAGGGCTAGGTGGAAGGCAAGAGAGCACGCGGTCGATCGCCAATCCGCTGGATAGATGCCATCACAAAGGCCACTGAGTCCACCATGGTCCAGTGTACTCGCGACGCCTCTAACCGTCAGAAATGGAAGCACATCGCCAGGAGAGCTACCCTTGGAGATGACATCACCACACCATGTACCTCACCAGCGCAACCACGATCACTCTGACAAGAGTGCCCGACTAAGAAGAAATTCCTCATTCAAATTGCAGACCGGCCTATCAGCTGACTAAAAATCTATGGGGTGTTAAGTTAGCATCAAAATACTACATAGTAAAAATAAAGAGTAGACTGAAAGAGGTTAAAATTCACTTACTGTTTCATTGACAAGTTCATTACTGCTAACATTTCGATTGTGGCGCGCAAACATGGCCTCTTAAATTTAAGTACTGGAATCATTAGGCCGGAATATTTTACGTGCCCTCTAATAATTGTAATCTTCTTTTTATAATTATAAAAATGTTATTTTGTTTTCGTTTCTATCTCCTAATATACATAATGAAGGGCGACTTTGATCCTTCTGCGCTTAAATTTTGAAAAGGCTTATGAAAAATTTTTGCTGAAAATTACATTTATGACTGTTTAACTGTTTTAAAAAAAGGAGGTTCTCAATTCAACTGTATGGAATGAAACGAAATAATAGTATTATGTTATAAGCGGATTAGCGGGCAATCGGCACGTATCACTAAAACAGACTTACAATCGAGCAAAAACGTTCTGGAGTAGGTCTAGTCCAGGGATGGCGAACCTTTATGTATCAACGTGCCACTTTTCCGAAAAAAATGTTTGACGTAGTCTTAGATGTGCCATGAAATAACACCTAATGCTATCAATGAGGGTATAGTACAAGTGGCGCCACTGGCGAGTGTCAGGACCTTACTCTACAGTGGCACTAACTGATGAGGGCAAATACGATAGCCCTTATTACATTATATTTCTACTATTTTATTTTATAGTGAATTTTGTGATTGGTGGCGTGCCCTAAATATTGTGGCGCGTGCCATCGATGGCATTGCCATTGGTTCGCCATCCCTGGTCTAGTCCATTCACCATACAATTCTGTTCTTTCATGAACCATCTTAGAACTCAACATTACTTTCCATCATGTGAGATTAAGTTCAGTTACTCAAGTAAAAAAAAGAAAATATAATTTTAAGACAAAATCGTGTCAGACGGAGGCTGGCCAAAAAATTTTACATAGGAGATCCCATGGTCGTGGTCACAGTGATAACGACGATGATATTATGCCTTTCGTATTTGTGTGCAGGATTTTTAATAAGCTAACCCAAATAGCCAATAGAGTCCAAATTTCCTTGGCAGAAGAGCATAATTTTAAGTTTCCAGTTCCTAAAACCCCGAAATTACAACTATTTAGATACCATCATTTCCTACTGTTAAGCATTCGACAGTTGATGCCTGAACTTTTGATATTATCCACATGCCTGAAGTATCAAAAAA